ATGAAATAAAGAAGGAATCACTGAGTCAAAGATGGTTGGAGAAATAGTTCGGGATGGGAGATGTGTGCTGAAAGTAGAAAAAGGACCAAACATGATAACCTCTCAGTATCTGTATTGCAGACTGTAATGCCCAAAAGTAGAGAGAGAGTATTGGGGAAATTTTCTGCCATAGAGGCATGGAGAGGGTTGGAAAGAGGGAGTATATTGGTGGTGGAGAATGTGCACTGGTAAAGGGATTGGATGTTTGATTATTGTATGATTGAAACTCAAATATGAAAGCTTATAACTGTATCTCATGCTGATTCAATAATAAAAAATAAAGAAATTTATTTAAATAAATAGGTGTTGGGAGGACCGAAGAGTTAACACAGTGGGTAGAGCACTTGATTTGCATGTGGCCAAACCAGGTTCAATCCCTGTACTAGATACGGTCCCCCAACTCCTGACAGGAGTGATTCCTGAGCTTAGAGCCAGGAGTAAGGCCTGAGCATATCCAGGTGTGACTCAAAACACAAAAAAAAAGTTGTAAAGAATAATTCAAGCCCATATGCTCTTTACAAAAAATTCCATCGTTAGAGTAATAAATGTGCTTCCAATTGTAAATTAAGTCTTATTTAGCATGAGGTTCTGCCTATGGCCCATAGTTTGAAAAATACAATAAATGATATTGATTTCTGATAATAAATAAAATCAAATTAAAATGTGATGTTCCCAGACACTATAGTTTTACAACTTTAAAAACTTGGCATAAAATGTATAGACCTAGGGCCAGGGACATAGCTCAAAGAACAAGTATGCATGCTCTACAAGCTGGAGGCTCAGCTCCATCACTGGTACTGCACTACTGAGTATGACACCCCCCCAAAATAACGCGTAAAACTTACAGACCTATATCAGTTGCCAGAAAAATACACATTTTCACAACACATACTACAAAGAACCTGAACAACCACTGAGGGTCCTCTCTGGAGAATGAAAGGCCGATTCAGGCCCCTCCCCAAAATTTTCACTGAAGCCCCAACTCCTGATACCTGCTGATAGGTCTGCATTTGGGCTCAAGGTCCTGAAAACTGTAATGAAGAGGAAACACAAGCATATGGGGGCTGGATGCGATTTCACAGGTGTGTGTCTCTAAAGTAACATCACCAGAATGCGAGTCCATAGGAGAAAGGCAACATGATAACAGGAAGTGGGGGAGAGGAAGTTGCACAAAAAACTACAACTCTAGGGTGGGAGGGATACTGGGATCATTGGTGGTGGAGAATGGGCACTGGTTGGAGGGATGGGTACTCGATCATTGTAAAACTGAAACCCAAGCACAAAAACTTGTAAGTCCACAACTGTACCACATGGTCTTTCACTAATAAAAATCTAAATAAATAAATAAAAGTAAAAAGCAAGAAAAAACAACTACAAGTCTGGGGTTTCAACCCTCCACTCTGTGGCATTTTGTTATCGCAGCTGTAGAGACAGAATTTTGACCTCTCAGTATGCACAGGTTGGAAGCCTTTCCCGGATGTGAGGGCATCAGTGATAGGATGTGATCCATACAAAGCCTGCTCACTCAAGTCACACAGTGGGGTCTCACTGCAATATAACTGGTCCTTCTAAGAAGAAGGCTCCCTCTTTAGCCATGCCCAAAGGCAGGTGAGGACACAAAGAGCCATCTAAAAGCATAAATTGTTCACGCCTTGATCTTCCATATCCAGGTTTCAGAACTATGAAAAACTTATTGTCTGTTGTTTTTAAGTCACTCAGCCTGCATTCTGATAGCCCCAACAGACTACAAAGCAACAAACAGATGTTCAGATGCTTTGTTATCATAAAATACACATGCATGTACATGTGCATAAACGTGTTGGCAATGTGCAAATTTCTTGGAGTATAATTTGTAAACAACAGAGATTTTTACTCTCTTTGTATAATAACATTTTTTAGGTTAAAAATGAGTATGTATAATTTATATTTATTCACCTGGTTATATCTTGGGGAAAGCAGAAATGTATTTATAAAGTGGGGTCAATATATGTGTACCCTGGAAAAATATTTTGCACATATTCACAAGTCAATTATTTCAGCATTCAGAGAGAATGTAAAAGGCCAGGTCTAACCTACCTAAAATTACCAAGGAATATTAAACTTAGACTGCACTGTTTCAAGTTAAACTTTTTACATGCATTTGTTATATTCCTGTCGCTTATCAAGTTACCTTAAGAAGCTCTTTGTGAGTTTAATTATGCTTGACTAATTCTCTAAAGAGTACAAAGAAAGATGAATTCCTTAAATATTTAATCCATCGATGACTCAAAGTGTCATTTTCTGAATGCGACTGTGAAGTTCTTGGAATTCATTACTGTTTGAATTCTAACTGCTTTTTTAGACAATCAAGACATACAGTCACAGCTCCCACAATGCGTAACTTCAACATCTTATCATTTCATCAAGAGAATGCATGCCCAGTGCTACATTCCAAATCTCAACCTGGTAGAGTTACTTATCACCAGGCAGCCAAGGAATCTGTGAGCTTCCTCTTAGAAAGGAAGAGCATTAAGCTCTCTTCCATCCTGATCTTCAGAACTGTTTATAGGTCTACTTCATCTTGATCTGAACATAAATGAGCTAAAAGTTAGTTACTGCAAGTCTGCCTGTAAAATCACTCTTCTTTCTCATTCCATTATGGTTCTCTTGAACTTGTTCCAAGCCTCATGCCCTTCATAAACCTTCCCTAGAGTCAAACACGCATGGCTTCACTCATGCATGGTACACAGAAAAGCAAACCAATGGAATAGAGAGTATGGAACAGTAACAAAACGTCTGCTGGGTTACAAAACTGATAACCAAGCAGGGGTGAGGGGTAGAGAAAAAAGAGGTGGGCTAGAGGGTCTCGGGTACTTTGGTGGTGGTGACGTGTGATAACTGTGTACACCAAAAGCATAAATGTAACCACTATCATAACACATACCAAGACCATAATAAGTTTTTAAAACTAAAGTGTAAAACACGGGGCTGAAGAGATAGCACAGTGGGTAGGGCATTTGTCTTGCATGCGGCTGACCCGGGTTCAATTCCCAGCATCCCATATGGTCCCCTGAGCATCGCCAGGAGTAACTCCTGAGTGCAGAGCCAGGAGTAGCCCTTGTGCATTGCCAGGTGTGACCCAAAAAGCAAAAAATAAATAAATAAAATAAAGTGTAAAACATGATGAGTATGACTCAGAAAGGTTCATTAACAAAAGTAGGAGAATAGTTCATTTGAAGTAATTTTACAGAAGGGATCCATTTATAGAGAATGAAAACACTAGTAAATAAAACAATTTCTTCAATATTACAGGAGGCAACATTAAAAAAATTCATAACTACATGTGAATTCAAAAATAGAAGCTTGGCTCTGTATGTGAAAAAATAGGCAGACATTAATTTTCTCTCTTTCTTTTTTTTTTGAAATAACAATTATATATATTTGAAAGTTGGGGGAGTGCTGGTCCACATCTGACAGTACTCAGCAGCCTCTCCTGGCTCTGTGCTAAAAAGAGATCCAAAATATACTACTCAGGGAACTATATGTGGTACCAGTTTTAAAACTATTCTGAAGATAAGTGCCTGAACGCCTGTAATTTCTCTCCCAAAGAGTTAACAGCAAATTATAACATGCAAAAATACATTATGCAGCAAATTATAGCATGTAATAGCAAATTATAACAGTTGAGTTTTAAAAAATTATAATTCTTGGGGCTGGAGTGATAGCACAGCAGGTAGGATGTTTTTCTTGCACATGGCCAACCCGGGTTCGATTCCCAACATCCCATATGGTTCCAAGAGTATGGTTCCAGGAGTAATTCCTGAGTGCAGAGCCAGGAGTGACCCCTGCGCATCACCGGGTGTGACGCAAAAAAGCAAAAGAATAATAATAATAGTAATAATAGTTCAGTCATCCCTCCCTTCCTCCTGACACTGAATGGACCTGTGACTTTACAGTAATGACCCTCGTCCTGTTTAACCCTGTCTCGTATTTTGAGGGTGTTCCTCAAGAAGAGAGTCAAAATACAAAAACAGTCAAAGCAATCAGCAAAATCCCCACTTAGGAAACCTAGGCCCAGATTCTGGATTCTTGCAAAAACAAAAGGAAGGAAGGAAGGAAGGAAGGAAGGAAGGAAGGAAGGAAGGGAGGGAGGGAGGGAGGGAGGGAGGGAGGGAGGGAGGGAGGGAGGGGAAGGGAAAGAAAGAAAGAAAGAAAGAAAGAAAGAAAGAAAGAAAGAAAGAAAGAAAGAAAGAAAGAAAGAAAGTGAAAAACTGGGAAAAAGAAAAGACCACAGCACCATCGTGGGGCTAGACGCCCACAGCTCACAGACCCTGAGTGGTCCATACATGTGACGGCTCTGAGACCACGCTGCACGCAGAGATGCTGGGGTGCTAGTTAACTCAACTTCCCAAGAAGGAAACGGTGTTTTGCTTGAGAGCCTGATTCCACCTGCGCCGCTCCAGTGGAGAGAGACTCTGCACTTGTGATGTGCCCTTCATGTTCCTGACGCTCCATGAACGTGGAGTTTATTTGCAGATTGTGTTTGCCAGCATCAGCCATATCCACCCAACCTTCAAAACATTTCTTGAAGACTTCAGCTGGCAATCTTCCTAGCCGTCCTCCCCTACCTCCCATGCACCTTTGGTTTCAAGTAATTATTTACATTGAGAATATAAAACACAAGACGGCATGTCAGAATTTGCAGCTCTGGCTGCTTCCTGTTTATTTTAAAGAAAACATTTTCATAAGAAGACTTTTGTTGCAAGGAAAAAATAGAGGAAAAGAAATGAACTAGGGAGCCAGAGCAATAGAACAGCGAGTAGGGCATTTGCCTTGCACGCAGCCAACCTGGGTTCAATTCCCAGCATCCCATATGGTCTCCCAAGCATCACACTACACTCCCTTCTGGTTAGTAGACACAAAAGAGCCGGGGCAGACACAGACAGCCAGCAGGGTGGCGCTCTGCTCCACAGGGTACCTACCTCCTTTCATCATCCCGACTTCGTAGCACTTCCGAAGCCGGCAGGCCTGACAGCTCTTCCTGCGGTTTTTATCAATCGTGCACTGGTTGGTGGCCGGACACATGTAATCATTATGTCCTATTGAAGTAAGAAGACAAATATTAATATTCAGAACACTTAGAATCCATATGGAGGCTGTCAGGTGAATATTTTCCAATTTCTTGCTATCTCCATCCCCTGCCCTTTTTCTGTCCTCTAAGTATAAATTAAAAAGTCTCTAGGCCTGGGAAATGGCTCAGGGTACCCTGCCTGCCTCTTGGTCTTGAAGCTTTGACACAGTTCCCAATGCCACTATATGAGCTCAGCATCTAGAATCTCTAAGCTGCCACAGAGCTTGTGATCTTCAGAGTGTCAGAGCCAGGCACATGTAGGCATGGCAGGTGAAGTGTGTGAGTGCCAGCAAGCCCTGCAACTAAAGACATGTGGACACCCAGGAACACTGCATGCCAAAGTCTCTAGCATGTAACACCACTGAACACCAGAGATTTAGCACAGGAGTTGGGGTGTCTGAGTGTCCCCTAAGCACAGATCTAGGAATCACCCCTCAGCACAACCAGGTATAACCCCCAAACAAAAAACTAATTAATAACTAAGACTAAACAACTATTCTGGAGCCAGGGTGAGAGCTCAAGGGACTGAGTACATGAAAACATGTTTTACATGACCAAGAGCCAAGAGCACTGCCAAGAGCCAGTCCAGAGAAAGGTGCCAAGAGCAGCCCCCAAGGACCAATACTGAGTATTACCACAAACGAAAACAGATATTAGGCCCCAAACCCCAACTCTGCACTGTAGCACTGTCCTCCTGTTCTTCATCAATTTGCTTGAGCGGGCACCAGTAACGTCTGCATTGTGAGACTTGTTGTTACTGCTTTTTGGCATATCAAATATGCCACGGGGAGTTTGCCAGGCTCTGCCATGAGGGCAGGATAGTCTTGGTAGCTTGCCAGGCTCTCCAATAGGGACAAGGAATTGAACCCGGGTCAGCTGCGTGCAAGGCAAACGCCCTACCCACTGTGCTACTCTCCGGCATTCACAAGAAACAGGCTCACTCTACTGGACTTAATTTCTGACCCACCAGCAACCTTAACTAACTGCTCTAAGCCATTCCTTGAGAAATTTGCCCATATTTTACACAGCTTGGATGCAAGATCCAACATTTTCTATCCATTCATATGGTTGCATTTTCTCTTTAGATGAAACTTTTTTGGACCCAAGCTGCTTATTCAAACCATCCAAATAAGAACTGTTGGAACTTTTAAGCTTAGCTTCAAAGTGGCATTTCTTCCCAAATCATCTAAGAAAGCTTTATATAGGTCTTCAAACGCTGCACAGAACAAAAAAATTCAAAGGGTGGGGGCAGTGGGTTGGCATGGCTACCAGGCGAGTCCTAAAGTCAGAATCCAGAAAGTTGAGCATCGCACAGCGAGTTGGTGAGCACCTCAAGACCGTCCCCCTCGCTCTGTAATCCAGAGAAAATAACGGGGCCTGTTCTCTCATGGTATTCTCAGAACGAAATGTGAGAATCATGGCAGAAAATTTACCCTAATTGGGATAAGTTCTCAATAAATGTTAGCGGCCATTCTTATTTTTGTTATTAATTCTATTTTTCTTTATGGGTCTCTAATTTTTTGAGACTCTTCCACTCCCATGTTTCTTTCTCATTGGTATTTCCCACACAAAACTTGGTGCCACAAAACAAACATATGTACGTATTTCATCATCATCACCCTGGTCTTGGATCTGACATCCCACCCCCCTCACCTCACATCCTTAGAGGTATCTTCACTGTGATCCTCTTTTCCTTCCCTTCTTGCCCAGCTCAAAACGCATGAGTCAAATCGTCCAAACTATAGCTGCCCCCTGCCCCATATAAAAGATTAACAGATTTCACTATCAATAGCTCCCTGGCCAAAAGCCACAGATGTTCTCAGTACACGTGACTATCAGGGACCTCTAGCTATGTTTCCCTTCCTCTTGAACCACAATTATCCCTTAGCTTCCAGAACAAAAGACCACCCGCCCCCCACCCCAGCTCGCTACACCTAGAGCACCTATCTGCAACTTTCTAGACTGGGGGCAGGTCCCTTTGCTCCATCTGATACTCTGCCAGGAGCACAGGCATCAATGACAGGCTCTTTTTTTCTGCCTCTTTCCTAATCTCCAAAATGCCAGCCTCACCAATGGCTTCAGCCTTTACCACCACCAAATGCCCATGAATCATATATTTCTACTCAGAGCCCAAGCCCTTTGCTCAGCTCGGGGCTACAGATCTATGTGTATTTTGAAATTTGTGCTCTAACATTTGAAAGTCACTTCCAGTTCTTTCAGAAGTCTGGATGGGAACAGACAGAATAGTAGCCTCCACAAGTTAATCAATATTGGCACATGTTTATAAGTTTTATTTAGATGATACTAAATTCTTCTGTCTCTCAGGAAAATTAATTGAGATTCAAGCAGACTACTGAACTATTTTAAAACCTGCTTCAAAATAAAAGGAGAGCATATACTCTGATTTGGGCTGGAGCGATAGCACAGTGGGTAGGATGTTTGCCCAGTACGCGACTGACTGGAGTTCAATTCCCCCACCCGTCTCAGAGAGCCTGGCAAGCTACCTGTGATAGATTCAATATGCCAAAAACAGTAACAACAAGTCTCACAATTTGTTGTGAGACATTACTGATGTCCACTCGAGCAAAATCAATGAAAACAGGAGGACAGTGCTTCGGTGCTACATACTCTGACTTCCATTCAGATTTCTGTCTCAGCCATCCCATTTATGAAGGGCATGACACAACACGTGAACTGTTTTAACTACAGAACTCTTTGTTCCTTTTTCATCTCAAGGGTCAATCCCAATTAGCAAAGGGAGCAGTGGGGACTTGACAAAAAACGCTGGTCTCATAAAACTGCCTCCTCATCTGTAATTCAATTTTGTGAGACTCGCTGTATAAATAGGCTTCAGCTCAAATTCACATCTGCACCCACCAACTTCTCATACACTTGGGGAAAAAAACTCACCACATTCTAAGAATGTGATTTTAGTAAGAGACCACCCAACGCCTCTGATCTCTGCCGTCGGTATTTTTATACTCTTCTATAAGAAAAGGGGCAAGTTGAGGAAATAGGAGAATTGACGATCAAATGGACTTGAGCAATGTTAACATTCTGCTCTTCTGACACCATAAAGAACTTGTTCAAGTTTGTTCTTCTCTGAGGTGTAGGCAGTGCCTGTTGAGATATGGAACTCTTTGAAAAATAATGGGTTTAAGGGCCAGATAGTTCAGAGGTGAAGCTGCCTGGTTGGCATGCGTTTGTCCTGGTTGATCTCCAGCATTGCGTATATTTCCCTGAGCTCCACCAAGAGTGATTCCCCGAGCACAGTGCCAGGAGTCAGGCCTGAGCACAGCCAGGTATGGCCCCAGCCCCCACCAATGGATTTATCTTAAGTGATAGTTAGAAAATAGTAGTCACTGATATCAAAGAATAACTTTGATTTGCTTTCTGCCTTCCTCCTCCCCCCACCCCCAACCAGCCCAAAGCAAGTTGTTTTGCAGGCCAGGAAGACGATGGAGGATCAAGGCCAACTGGCTATCTCTTATGTTTGGACTGGCCATCAGTAAAGATGTGTATCTTTATAGAACTAAAGGAAATTCCTGAGCTAACATGTTTAACACAGAAAATATGCTGGGTCTGGGAGCTGAATTCGTCCCTCAACAAAAATGAAAATAGATGCCCAAAAGTACTGAATTTGCCATACAAAGATGCTTTTTTATCTTGACCAAACAATGTTAAAAATTTTTGTTGCTACTGTGTTTTTTGGTGATGCTCATGGTTTACTCTTGACTCTGCACTCAGACATCATTTCTGGCAGTGCTAAGGAGACTGTATGGGATGCCAGGGATGGAACTTAGGTCAGCCACATGTAAGGCAAGCACTTTACCTGCTATACTATCTCTCTGGCCCCATAAACTGTTTTAGACTTGTAATGTGATAAATTGATAACAAGAAACAAAAGGAATAAGTAGTTACATATTTAAAGAGTCACAGTTCAAATTCTTCCTAACCAAACACCATGAACAACTACTGGAAGTTACAGCAAAAAAAAAAAAAACACGCAACAACAAAATTGATTTCTTTCCCTTAATGAATATAACTTGGTAAAGGTGTGTGGTTAAATCCATTGACTTATGTTTCTTCAAGAAGAACGCCCTTTTTATTTTATCAGAGCCTGTAAAAACAACGCATAAGAAAATCCTACTAAAGTTGGGTTCATTTTTTTGTTTGCTTGCTTTTTTAGGGGGCGGGGTTCTTTTCTTAAGTAACAGCAACTGTGGTAATGAGACAGTATTTTCCCTGACAGGAATGAAGTACTCCCTGTACCGTGACCAGAGGCCCTCAAGTGCTTTGCACGCAGACCTAGATGAAGCACAAAACGCGGAAGCCAAGTTGTGATATTCAGGTAAAAGTTTGGAAAAACTTTCCTTGACCACCAACTTTCCTTGACCATTATTTCCTTGACCACCAAAAAAGCAAACACTTCCCGTATTCACCCAGAGAGGACAACAACATGGATTGAAAGGGATACATGAAAGGGACCCTGGGATCTTTACAGCACTGTTGGCTCTGAGGAAGGAGCTGAGACCACCTCAGTGCTCACAAAGAGACAACTGGATAATGAAGTGCTTGGTTATAAGCGCACTGTGGAATTTAGCCCGCTGTAAAAACTATGAAATCCCACCATTTGAGACAACATGGATGGACTTAAATGGCTGTGGGCTTAGTGAAATCAGTCAGAAGATGAAGGACAAACATTGGAGCTTTCACTCATACACGCTACATAAAGGAGTGAAACAAATGAGCTGATTTTTATAGACTGGAAGACTCACTTAGTGACTCCAAGAAAGAGGAGAAGAAGGCAGGTGAATTGATCCTGTAAAAAATATCACAAATATAAGGGATAGAGAAGAACTAGATTGTCAGTGTTGCGCTCAGTGCTCTATAGACCACGTGTTGATTATAACACAAAGCCTATGTAATCACATCTAATACAACGATGCTATGTTATTTTCAATAGAA